CTTACAAATATGAAGGTTTCAAGTAGCACTTTGACAAAATAGAAAACTACACTAATCTATGGCCAAATTTCTCCGCAGGCCACTTCCTCGCAGCAAAGTTCACACTTGGAGCTCCATTTGTGTTGATATTTTTAATTTACAAGTGGAGGAGAAGGCACCTAGCAATGGACGAAAACATTGAAGAATTCCTACAAGCTCATAACAACTTTTTGCCCATAAGGTACTCTTACTCAGATATCAAGAAAATCACAAAAAATTTCAAACACAAATTAGGAGAAGGAGGATATGGTTCTGTGTACAAGGGAATACTTAGAAGTGGCAATGAAGTTGCTGTTAAGATTTTGAACAAATCAAAATCTAATGGCCAAGATTTTATAAGCGAAGTGGCTACTATCGGAAGGATCCACCATGTTAATGTGGTTCAACTTGTTGGTTTTTGCTTCAACATCTCTAAGCAAGCTCTCGTGTACGATTTCATGTCGAACGGGTCTTTGGATAAGCATATTTTCTCTAAAGATGGCAACTACTCTCTTGATTATAAGAAAATATATGAGATCTCTCTCGGTGTGGCTAGGGGGATAGAATATCTACATCGGGGATGCGACATGCAAATTCTGCACTTTGATATCAAGCCTCACAATATTCTTCTAGATCTAAACTTCACTCCTAAAGTCTCAGACTTTGGGCTTGCAAAACTTTATTCTACGGACCACAGCATAGTATCATTGACTGCTGCAAGAGGTACCTTGGGATATATGGCTCCTGAGCTATTCTACAAGGACATTGGTGGTGTCTCTTATAAAGCTGATGTTTACAGTTTTGGGATGTTGTTGATGGAAATGGCCAGTAGGAGAAGAAATCTAAATGCAAATGCTGACCGCTCAAGTCAAATTTACTTTCCTTTGTGGGTTTACGATCAACTCAACAAAGAAAATGAGGTTGAAATGGAAGTAGTAGAAGAGGAAAGAGAGATAACTAGGAAGATGGAACTAGTTGCCCTTTGGTGTATTCAGTTAATCCCAAATGATCGGCCATCAATAAGCAGGGTCCTAGACATGCTTGAAGGAGATATTGATAAATTGCGACTGCCCCCGAAGCTACTTTTGTATCCGTCCGACAAGCCAGTTGATGACGTCAAATCTGAAATAGAACTTGAATCCTTCTCAACTTCATCAAGTGCTCCAACAATTTTCTGATTAGGACCAAGTTTTGAATAGCAATAAGATTACGAAATCATGGATAGTATGATTTTCTTTTCTCCATGTATGAATAATATGTAAAATAAGGGTAGTTCCATCATAAGCATAATTGGCCATGTAATTCGTGAACCTGGATGCTTTTACCGTTTGTTAATTCCTGTGTTTCGTAGAAGAATTGCCTCATGATTACATTACTTGTTTCCCAAGTGCTCTTGATATGACAGAACAAGCTCGTCTTGTATGGAGCAATGAGTCTGTCTCCCTTCTCTCTACCGTCCAATATCAAGCTTTCTCCTTCCCGCCGAAACCTCTCACCCTCACTCTCGACTGCTGCCCGATCACCCAACTCGATGGAGGCCACCTCCGCGGAGCAACATCCCACCTCGACCTCATGTCTCGTGATGTGTCCAATCCCGACCTCCTCACCATCTATCTCCTCCTCAAGTCCTGCATTCACTCCTGTGTGTTGGCGAGTCCATCGCGCGCTCGCTCGGTCCCAGCTGGAGCCCAACTCGATGGTTCTCAACTCGCCCATCAATCTCTACTCCAAATTCATTGACTGGGCTGGGGCAGAGGGGGTTTTTAGGGACACGGATAACAAAAGGGACTTGGTTTCTTGGAGTTCCATGATCTCTTTGCTATACCAATAATCATATACTTGAAGATGGGGTTTTCCCTAATGATTCTCATGCGTGTGTTGGGTCATTGATTGACATGCTTGCCAAGGGTAGTGCCGATTGGGTTTCAGCTCGTAAGGTGTTTGAGGCAATGTCCAAGAGGAATGTGGTTGCTTGGGCTCATGAGGATGACCTGATCTACTCAGTTGGGTTGTCCAAAGAAAGCTGTTGATTTGTTTTAGGCTACGCTGGTGTGTGGGCCTTTGCCAAATAGATTTAAGCTCACAGCTGTTTCGTCGGCATGTTCGGAGTCGGAGTTGCTATCGCTTGGGATGCACCCAAGTGTTCACACCTAAATTTCGGTGCATCATTTAGTGATTAATTGCATAGAAAATTAGGGATTAAATTTTAATCCCTGAACAAAAATATTACAAATCGCATAGTATAAAGTTTAGGTTCATATAGATTAACTACATTTCGCATCGGATCGGCGGTGGTAAGCCTCACAATATTCTTCTAGATCTAAACTTCACTCCCAAAGTCTCTGATTTCGGGCTTGCAAAACTTTATCCTGCGGACCACAGCATAGTATCATTGACTGCTGCAAGAGGAACTTTGGGATATATGGCTCCTGAGCTATTCTACAAGGACATTGGTGGTGTCTCTTATAAAGCTGATGTTTACAGTTTTGGGATGTTGTTGATGGAAATGGCCAGTAAGAGGAGAAATCTAAATGCAAATGCTGACCGCTCAAGTCAAATTTACTTTCCTTTATGGGTTTACGATCTACTCAACAAAGAAAATGAGATTGAAATGGAAGTAGTAGAAGAGGAAAGAGAGATAACTAGGAAGATGGTACTAGTTGCCCTTTGGTGTATCCAGTTAATCCCAAATGATCGGCCATCAATGAGGAGGGTCCTCGACATGCTTGAAGGAGATATTGATAAATTGCGACTGCCCCCGAAGCTACTTTTGTATCCGTCCGACAAGCCAGTTGATGACGTCAACACTGAAATAGAACTTGAATCCTTCTCAACTTCATCAAGTGCTCCCACAATTATCTGATTGGGACCAAGTTTTGAATAGCAATAAGATTACGAAATCGTGGATCGTATGATTTTCTTTTCTCCATGTATGAATAATATGTAAAATAAAGGTAGTTCCATCAGAAGCATAATTGGCCATGTAATTCGTGAACCTGGATGCTTTTACCGTTTGTTAATTCCTGTGTTTCGTAGAAGAATTGCCTCATGATTACATTACTTGTTTCCCAAGTGCTCTTGATATGACAGAACAAGCTCGTCTTGTATGGAGCAATGAGTCTGTCTCCCTTCTCTCCACCATCCAATATCAAGCTTTCTCCTTCCCACCGAAACCTCTCACCCTCGCCCTCGACCACTGCCCGATCACCCAACTCGATGGAGGCCGCCTCTGCGGAGCAACATCCCACCTCGACCTCATGTCTCGTGATGTGTCCAATCCCGACCTCCTCACCTTCTATCTCCTCCTCAAGTCCTGCATTCACTCCTGTGCGTTGGCGAGTCCATCACGCGCTCGGTCGGTCCCAGATGGAGCCCAACTCGATGATTCTCAACTCGCCCATCAATCTCTACTCCAAATTCATTGACTGGGCTGAGGCGGAGAGGGTTTTTAGGGACACGGATAACAAAAGGGGCTTGGTTTCTTGGAGTTCCATGATCTCTTTGCTATGCCAATAATCATATACTTGAAGTTGGGGTTTCCCTAATGATTCTAATGCGTGTGTTGGGTCATTGATTGACATGCTTGCCAAGGGTAGTGCTGATTGGGTTTCAGCTCGTAAGGTGTTTGAGGAAATGTCCGAGAGGAATGTGGTTGCTTGGGCTTATGAGGATGACCTGATCTACTCAGTTGGGTTGTCCAAAGAAAGCTGTTGATTTTTTTTAGGCTATGCTGGTGTGTGGGCCTTTGCCAAATAGATTTAAGCTCACAGTTGTTTCGTCGGCATGTTCGGAGTCGGAGTTGCTATCGCTTGGGATGCACCCAAGTCATACAGTCTGGATTGGCTTTGGAAGTCGGTGGCGGATGCAAGCTTGGCAGACATGTACGTGAAGTGTGCGGCTAGTGGATCGCTTCGTGATCCGAGAAAGGTGTTTTGATAGGATGCAAGATGAGATCTCGGACAGCGATAATCACGTTCACAAGAAAGGAAAATTGAATGAATGCCACACGAAGGTTCATTTTGCTTCTTTGAAAAATAAATGATTTGGAATTTTTTTTTTTAAAATGATAGCTTGTTTCTCCCTATCAAAGTTTGTGTCAAACTTAACGACAACAATTTATGTTTGAACATTTTCGTAGATTATGAAAATATTTTTCCTTCATTCATTTTTATAAGCTATATAAGCGATCATTTTTAGGAAAATATTTTTTAAATTCATTCATCCGCCAAACAAACAGAGTGTCATTGTCATTTAAATTATATACCCATGAGGAGTCTACTAGAAAACTAAGTATCACCGACACCGACACGTGACACGACACACGACACGACACGACATGCCGACACGTCATTTCTAAAAAAATGAGAATTCTGACACGTTGGGGCACGTTGTATATTAAATGTATAATTTTATATATACATGATAAATTATCATTTTTATGATTATTTCAATCAAATTAATTTGATTCAAATCCACAAATAGATAAATAATTAAAAAAATGAGTGTCGGACGAGTGTCGGTGTCCGACACGTCCGACACGTGTCCAACACGATACGGAGGCCCCGGAAAGTGTCCGTGCTCGTAGCTAGAAAATACTAGTGCTATATAAAAAATCATGAAAAAGCTTCAAGGATTACATAGTGAATGATCATATATGTTGATAGTACTATCTTTATTTTGCATTTCATTTCTACAAGAGGGGAACCGTGTTCCTGTTAAAAAAATTTAAATACATACAATTGCAATAGATCTGTAGTAAATGAAGAAGTTGAAACAATAAAGTGACATATTTACCGATAACCGATTGAAATGAAACAGAATTAGATCTATACTACTTTATGAACCTAATGAAGCATCCAATATACAATCACTTCAATTAAAATTAAATTGTGAGAGATGCACGAAAAATCGCACCGTATTCCTAAAACCAATGAAGAATTTTGAGCCGCCAGGAAAACAAAAATTCAAATTGTACCCGAAAAAGCAGGGGAAGCAGGTTGGACTCACTCCCAAAAGACTAATCCACTTGCATTAAACAATATCCAGATATGAAATCATCCGCGTCTGACCAAATTATCATCGCTTTCATATAAAAAATTTAATCTACCGGCCCATGCACTGTATCTCGGTTTCCTCTATTAAATAGCCAATGTTGGACGACAATATCCTTGCGCAAACCAATAGTACTCGAAAACTACTTATCTAACCTGAACTATGTCAACCCAGATGCTCTTCCTTGCTACGCTAATCGTCCTCTCATCTTCCCTGCAATCCCATGCAGTGGAATACACCGTGACGAACAACGCCGGCAACACTACCGGCGGCGCTCGCTTCTCTAGCGAGATCGGCATTCCGTACAGCCGCAGGACTTTGACAGCAGCCGCCGGTTTCATATGGAGGGTCTTCCATCAGAATGCCCCCGGGGATCGTAAAAGTGTCCAGAAAGTGAGCTTGTTTATAGAGACCATGGACGGCGTGGCGTATGAGAGCAACAACGAGATCCACGTGAGTGCCACGTACCTCGGGGCCTTCTCGGGGGACGTGAAGGGGGAGTTCACCGGGGTCCTGTACCACGAGATGACGCACGTGTGGCAGTGGAACGGGGACGGAGAGGCCCCCGGCGGGCTCATTGAGGGGATCGCGGATTTCGTGAGGCTCCGGTCAGGGTACGTGCCGGGCCACTGGGTGGGGCCAGGCCAGGGCGATAGGTGGGACCAGGGTTACGACATCACGGCACGGTTTCTCGACTATTGCAATGGCCTGAGAAACGGGTTTGTGGCCGAGCTGAACAAGAAGATGAGGACTGGTTATAGTGATAGCTATTTTGTTGACCTGCTAGGCAAGAGCGTCGACCAGCTCTGGAAGGACTACAAGGCTAAGTACGCTACATGACTAGAGTCCATACCTGCTCAATAGATGTACGTGCTTGATAAAAAGCATTGTCAACTATATTATCCTTAATTATGGAACGTTAATACTACTTCAATAAAAAATAATTTAAGACATTTTGATAAGCATACTCATCGGGTCTCCGCCTCGCGGTCTCATGTATGTTCCACGTTAACTTGGATTCGGCCACAAGGTTCAGGGTCCAAGCATCGATATCCTGGGTTCTTAAGTCCTAATTTGAGCCTGTCCCCAAGTTTCAAAGTCTGTAAGGACCGAGGTTTGCAGTGGGTTTATGACACTTTGACAATCGTTCTTGCGACAATACTTTCGTCCTTGTGATTTTTCCTTTTTTTTTCCTTGTGATTTTTAAGTTTTTCTGTGTTATTTTCCATTTTTATTGTTTTAAGCATACTCCACTTGAGTGGGATTTACTTGTGAAAGTTTCTCCAAAAAGTCCTAAACATATTGTACGGCGGCCAATTTAATTCTAAAATTTTCAGTTATGCCAATTTAGTCTGAAACCTATTGCATGGTGGCTAATTTAATCGTAAACCTTTCAATTGTGCCAATTTAGTCATAAATATTTTCACGATTTGCAAATTTAGTCCTAAACCTTTTATCAATTGTCAATATAGTCCTACTGGCTAATTTTGACTAAAAAATGCTGACGTGATGGTCCAATCAACACCAGCCATCTTACGTGGCGCAACTAGTGCTATTGTGGACTATTTTTAATTTTTTTTAAAAATTTGAATATTTTTATTAATTTTATCTTTTTTTTTCTTCATAGGGCTGGCGAGGCCGCTAGCCATTGGACAAGGGCCGTGAAGTCCTTGCCTCGGCTGCAACCCTTGCTGAATTTGGGCAAGGGCTCCCAATAGCAAGGGCGCTGCGAGCCCTCACCCAGCCTTGCCGTGGCTATGAATCCTCTTCCAAAGGCTAGTGGTGGTTGCAGGCCCTCGCCCAGTGGCCGACGGAGGTCGTCGTCCTGCCGAACCTATGAAGAAAAAAAGAAAAGAAAAAAGAAAAAATTAATAAAAAGTTTGGAAATTTTTTTAAAGAATTAACTATGTTAGAGTCGATCGCGCCAGGTAAGACGATCAGCACTGATTGGACCACCATGTCATTAATTTCTAGCCAAAATTATTCAAAAGGACTACATTAGTAATTTGTGAAAAGATTTAGGACTATATTAATAAATTCTCAAAAGGTGTATGACTAAATTGGCCCAATTGAAATATTTAGGAATGAATTGGCAAATTGTCAAAATATTTAAGACTAAATTAGCATAACGTACAACAGGTTTAGAACTTTTTGGGCAATTTTCCTATTTACTTGCCTAAGTAAATGTTAAGGAAATGCAGTTTGAAATGCAGTAAGATGGGCTCATTTGCTTCCATCATGATGTCCCTAGATACAATTTTCTTGTGCATTTGTATGGCTATTCATGATCACCATACAGAAAAATTTTAATAGCGGATGGTCTTCTGTCAAAAGTTCGTGCGTTCTCTGCGAAGGATCATCTTAAGAGGCTTAATTGTTTTTCAACATTTAATGGAGAACTCATTATGGTCACTTTCTATGTGAGAGAATCTTCGTACTTCAATAAGGTCAAGTAATATATGATTGGAAATATCTAGGTGCCTAGTTTCAGATAATGGAATTACTGCATCTTCATCACTTTCTGCCGCAGCCTTCATTTTCTCCTTCTTGAAAACTGACTTGGCTTTCAAGAAATTTTTTTTTTTTGATTATGTGGCTGAGATTAAGAATCATGTGGTTGAGCTGACCCCCGCTTGCTAATTTCTTATACTATGGAGAAATATATATTCCTCTAAATATGTATGTTTCGCGAAAAAATGAAAGATTTTGAAAATATTTTCTAAAAAATAATCATTTGTATCATTTACTAAAATGAATGAACGAAAAATATTTTCATTAATCAATGTATTAACTATTTCTTTATTTTCTGATCGCTTCGAAGGGACAAAAGAAACATTTTGTTTTAGAAATAAATTATTGTCGATGATGAAAATATTTTTTATCGATTAATCATTTCAAGCGATACACGCTGTCATTTTTAAAACAATATTTTTCACATCATTCATTTTCCACAAAACAAACGGAGCTTCTGTTTCGTGTTATTTTTCGAGGTGGTGTTTCAGTTTGGGTTGTTTTCTAGTTTCTTGCTTGAATATGGCAAAGAAGCCTGTTTGTAATTGAACCGGAGGTTCAAGCTGTGGCCTTTTATGCTTTCTCGACTTGTTTCATATGAGGCAATTAGCATCGGTTTGAGCTTCAAGTTTTTTGCTCTGGTTGATTGATTCGCGACAATTTGTTACGAAATTTGTGCTTGAAAAGTATTGGTTCGGATAAATGGGAGTTGATTCACCATCCACTACCCTGTGAAGTGGGCTGATAATTTGTTTTGGTCCTAATTCTCTTTTACAATTTGTTTATGGCTTAGCAAAGAGTGAAGAAAGTAAATGTGAAAACGGAAAGAACGCTCCGCGTGATTCAAATTACTGCATGAGTTTGACGGAGTTATTCTTCGGGTAAATAATTACATCTTCGATCGTGCCTCATAGTAATTGGCACAAGCACTTTTTTTTGGTCGAATGGTACAAGCACGTCGCACGCAGCTAAAGTATGCATTGACCTCGCTAAAAGTTGGGTCGAGATAATTGAGGATGACTAGGCAATTCTTAGGAAAAAAAAAAAGAAATGAAAATCCAACCCACTCTATCCGAATTTTTTTTTTTCGATTCAGATTCTATGGGGATCGGGTCGCAAAAGAAACATATAGCCTTCATAGTAAATTGGTACAGTACTTGAACCGGACCGGCCGTTGATGCCCCTAAGCCACGCGTTGATTTCAACCTCGATTTTCTTTAGGCTAGTAAATCTCCATTACCTTTGTGAACTTGCATGATTTGTCACGTAAAGAACTTAAACAGACTCCTCAGTCCTCACTTATTGACCACTTCAACTCATTTCATCTTTACATGTTATCCACTTGCCCAACATGAATCTCCACGCCATGTCTTGAACAAGTTTTAATGTTCTGGTGACCCCTCTTCGAACTATGTAGTTCCAGGTTGAGCTCTCTTCCTTTGCATAGTTCTAGGTTCAGCTCTTTGCAAGGCAAATTTACTTCAATTTTTTCTGATAAAGTTAACACTTAATTAAATTAGACATGCATAATATAGATGAAATGCCTGAATGAAAATACACGCGTAAAATGGGGTACTATCATTAAACATCGCCCATACCATGTCAATCTTAGGTCAAACTCACTTGCTCAATCTCCAAATAATTGTGTGAGATTTCATGGGAATATTGCCAACTATTCTAAAAACTTAAGCTTTTGGATTTAACTTTTTAACATGGTATTATAGGCAGTACTATCCCTTTCGCATATGTGTGTCCACCCTCTATAAGTCAAATTCTATGTGCCGCTTTTAATCCTGCTTACACGTGAGAGAGGGTGTTAGAAAGTCTAACCCAAATTAAGTTTTTGAAACAGTTGGCAGTGGTCCTACAAAATCTCCTATGATATTAGAGCCAGTCGTGTCCTTTTCGCGTATGTGCATTCACCCCACATCAGTCAAATTCCACGTGTCACTCCTAATCCGACTGGCACGAGATGTTGAAATATTGTCCCACATCACTTGATAACAGGTTTTATATGTTCTTCATATTATATGATTTCTCTCCACCTAATAGCTTTAGTTATTGGGTTGGGATTTCTAACTTGATATTAGAGCCAATGCTATCACTTTCGCATATGTGCGTCCACCCCCCAATTAGTCAAATTTTAAGTGTCGCTCTTAATCCAACTAGCACATGAGAGAGGGTGTTGAAATATCACAACCGATTCTATATGTTCTTTATATTCATTTGGCTTTTAAGTTGGACTTTTTTACCAAATTGAACCAACACATGGTCAAAATGGACATGCACAATTTATATGGTAAGGAAAATTGACACAAATAATCTCTAAACTTTGGCCCAATATGCAATGCCATTCTCAGAATTTTAATTTGTTCAATCTGGGCAATAGCGTTATTATTAAAACTTGTGAATAGTATTGGATGGTTGATTTGATTTCGTTGGAAAGTTAAGGAACTAGATTGAACAAATTGAAAGTTTAGGGACTATATTGAACAATTAGTAATAGTTCAAGGACCGCATTGAACCAATTAAAGGTCTAAAGATGATATTGCATACTAAGCCAAAGTTTAGGGGCTATTAGTGTCATTTTCCTTAATTATAACCTTGTGATAAAAATGGGTACCAACATAATCATAGTTTGTACCACTATATAATATCATGTTTGGATTTCGTCAAACTTTTGGGCTAAAGTTTAATATTGAAATCCTTATTTGAATTTGCTTTTTATAATACAAAAGACGCAATTGTCTTCTTTTTTGCTTAGCAAATAAAGATTTTATTCACAATCAAATAAGTACATTATACACTTGAGACGTGCACGCTGGCGTGGAATGCACATTCAAGAACTAAGAGTGGAAACACACCCTCACAAACTAAAGTTAAACGTGTAAAATTTTGTGAGACTGTGCCCAATTACTCTGAAAGTTAAAGCTGTTAGGTGAATGCGTGATTTAATATTTATATATTCTAAAAGTCCTCTTAAGGCATAGGCTGGATTAAGTGTTGAAATATATTTCAAGGGAGGCAAATAGCGGCCTGGCAAGATTTGAAGTAAGGACCTCCCGCACAATGCCAACTGTTCTAAATGCCTAAGTTGATAGATAAAGGCGTGGTTTAATATTAGGTATTCCAACACTAAACGAACATTAGAAAAAGCTCTACAAAAACTAAGAGTGGAGTGCGCACTCAAGAGAACCCCGCACACAATCAAGTGAAGGGGCATCAAAGTGGCTCTTACGTGAGCGACACTAAAGGATGTTGCCATGGAGGGCCTTGATGAAGGCAATCATCCTAGCTAGGCTGATGCCGGACGAAAGTGTAGCAAATCACGGTTGAGATTCGTGGAAGGAGGGATAAACACCAAGTAAAATCTTAATG